ACACGTGTGCCATTTGTGACTTACTTGGAACAATGTGATGGGGGGAGGAGGGGGCGAGGGGTCTGCCATTCCTCCCCTCCCCCTGCACAATTTTTCTCAATTATTCTCCGAAGACGCGGCGGAAATGGGGCGCTGGCTTAGCCATGTGGCTTAATGGCTTAGCCACTCGAGGCTTAGTGAACCCCTTCAGTGGGAACCAGATGCCAATATCCCTGTGGCATAAACCCCTAGCCCAACCCCTGACCCCCTCTGAGGGGCAAAAAACCTTTCCTTTTTTAACCCCCACCATCGCAGCCTCGCTTGAAATTGTTCATTCATTCATGCAAAGCACATCCCCTGTCTCTTATACACATCTCCTCCGCCAATCACAACATGCCAATCATTGCAACTCGGCAATTACATCAATCCCCACCCCGCCAATCATTGCCTTGCCTCAATCTCTGCCTTACCAATCGCTTCACCGCCAATCTCTGTCCTGCCNGGCAATAACACTGCAGGGCTGGCAATAACACTGCAGGGCTGGCAATAACACTGCAGGGCTGGCAATAACACTGCTCTATTCCCACAGGGGTTACGAACTACACATCGGCGACCACATGAGTCCGGGAGAACAGATGGTGCAGTGATGCAGTACCGGAGGCACTGGAGTAAATGATCTTAGGATCAAAGGTCTGTCTGCTTTAGACGAGTTTTAAAGCTGCTGCAGACTAAGTTCTCGTCTGACGCAGATAGTGTCACATAAGGTGCCTGTACACGGGGACAGCACTGGCCGCCAGTTCATCCACCGCGTGAACTGTCCACGCTACTAGCCTCGTGTATAGGGGTTCAGCCGCTTCAGAGGCATGTGCCCGAGACGCGGCCGAGAGGGACAACGATGTGTTGATTTCTTCGCTGGAGAAGCGGCCAGTTGGGCTGATGCAGCCATGGTGAGAGCATCTGTGCCGTTCTTGTGAAGCATCTTGGGTCAAGTGAATCATGGCTTGTTTGAACGATAATGGTTCTAAGAAGAACACCACAAAGTGGAGTCCAGCCGATATTCAATTATTCTTTGATATATTCCAAAAATATGAATTAAAGTATAATGTTGGCCATGCTGGTTACTCCAACAAAATGAAGAGAGAAACGAGTATTTTGAAACTGAAAGAAGACCTTATTAGTCAGGGCTTAGTTTTTTCCGACGTTGCATTTTTAAGGGCTAGAATAAAGAGTATAAAAACGACGTACAGACTCGAGTTGTTGAAGGTGATCCCACTAACCATCTTCGCAGACCTCACTCGACGGCTTCTAACGACGCACTGGAGGGCACGAACGAGAAGATAGCGGCACCTTATATACTGTACTCGTGTGCAGGCTTACTTGCCGGACCTAATAAAGTAGTGCCAACCTGTGAGTGAAGGGCTTGTGACGACTGTGCCCTGGGCAAAGTGTAATGTATATTAAGTGCACTTACAATTATAATATTTTTAACCTTATGATCTGCCAATGAATATCTGGGTCCTCTCAATTTTTGTACATTTATGACATTAGTGAGTTTATATTTCATCATGAAATTTTGAACTAGTCAGAAATACAGAATATCTGTTGAATAAGTTGTATCCGTGCAATCAAGATACACTCTATCATAAATACATATGTTAAAGTTAGTGCAACATAAATTAGCGGACGAAAACTTCTACATTTTGTACGCTGAAAGCCCTGGTTTCGCCATGTCCGGACTTCATTTAATTGTAATCTATTTGTTATCGACTATTCATGTATTTTCTTCAGTACGGCTCTCATGATGGCATTACCCGCGTGATTGATGATATCTTTTTATTTTAGCTTATTTGACATCGTCTTCGTTCAACCGCGTTACCCTGAATTAGCATGACTCGGCGGAAGTACGTTATTGTGCCCAATACTTTCCCTTGAATTTGTTAAGTAATGCATTGTGGCAACAGCAGGACAGCGTCACAGACTTGGTGGAAAATACACTTAGCATGATTTAGATTAAAGCCTTGAGCTCAAGATAGTGTTTGGGTGCCTCATTCCGGACCTGGAATTGGTTAAAACCTTAACCTGGAATTGGTTATAATCCAAGTCAAGTGCATTTATTCGTGGGAACTCTGGTGTGGCGAGAACAAACGAGTTTTAGAGACGATTGTTGATTTTATTCATGCATATGAAGTTATTTAATTTGAAGTGAAATCACGGTTCCCCGACCCCAAGACCCTTCCTGATAACAGCTGCCCCCATCCCCTCATTGCTCATGGATATACCGTGTCTTAAGCCACCCGTGCTCCTATAGACCAAACTATACATGTATATACCGCGTCTTAAGCCACCCGTGCTCCTATAGACCAAACTATACATGTATATACCGCGTCTTAAGCCACCCGTGCTCTTATAGACCAAACTATACCTGACGAAAGTGTTTCAATTTTAAATATGATGTAATTAAGTCAAGTTGTTTCCTAAGGACGTGTAAGTAGAAGACTTGCATCGCATTCCCTAGTCTAAGCCTTATGAAGGCTCTAGTGAAAATTTATTGTTGCCTGGAGTGCCTACTTCTTTGTTAAGACATTGGGATAAGTTCGTTTATAACTGTGTCTTGCAGTATAAAATGCTGTTTTTAATTCATGTTAAAATTTAAATGCTTGAATTTAAGATTTTATATGAATTTTCCTACTGATATCTTCTAATAAAATCTTCATGGCGGAATTTCCAAGAAGTTTTACTCCTGAATGTTAGTTGTGATGCCTCCATCTAGAGCTGCAGTTCATATGTACCATCAAAGGAACCTTCAGTTGGTTGGGTACAAACTCCATCATGATGATTATTGTTCGACTAATGTGCTGAGATACGAGAGTTGTTTGGGATACTTGTTGAGTGTGTTGACTTAAACTGCTCTCTGCGTGTTGGGTTTGTTGAATTTAACTGCTCTCTGCGTGTTGATGTGTTGAATTGAACGCTCTCCGTGTGTTGGAACTTGCCGAGGAGGAACTATAAGAATTTTCGGCCTGCGCCCCCTCAGGGGGGACTTCTGACGCGTGTCTGTGCTCGTCAGAAGTCCTATGGGATTTCGCGCTCCTAGGGGGGTTGTTTCTGAGCGCCCCACCGCTGAGCTCGCGGTGTCTGACTGCAGGTCTCAGTTGTGGGGTTAAGTTATTATGTGGGTAGGATTCCTTACATTAAGTTATTATGTAGCATGTAGGTTGGATTCCTTACATTACGTTATGTAGGTAGGATTCCTTACATTAAGTTATTATGTAGGTAGGATTCCTTACATTAAGTTATTATGTAGGTAGGATTCCTTACATTAAGTTATTATGTAGGTAGGATTCCATACATTTCCCTTCTCTGTCTCACTCGTGCGGGCGGCCGACGTCCCGTGTAAGCGACCTCTTGTTTCAGTGTCTTAGTTTCTATTTCTTTTCGCCTGTCCCTCCTTGTCACTTCGTCTCTTTGAGATGCTAACGCTGCTTCTCTCGAGCCAGCTTCAGCGGGCTGGACATCTGAGACCTTCCGCTCCTTGTGGGTGATGACCAATTGAGACCTTCCGCCTTGCTGGTGATGTTCATCTTGACCTCCGGCGCGAAATAGCTTAATAGCTGAAGCGCTAGCAAACCATTCTACTACTACTATCTACTACTACTACTACTACTTGCGGCCTGCGCTGCTCAGCTGGTATAGGATTGCCGCCCCTCAAAATAATACCGTCTTCTACGTCTGTCTACGGGCGCTCTGCGTAACATTTGCTGTATCTTAGATATTCGTAAAGAAATACAATAAGTATAAGAGCGTTCCTTGGTCATACGTTGTCCTGCTCTCTCTGAGGACAAATTGATGGAAAATTCGAAGGATCAGATCAGAAGTGCCTGAAAAATGTAACGCATTCATAAAATATCAATGAAAATGGCATTAACGAGTTCAAAGATAGTTGCAACTTTCAGCAACAAAAGATCCTGAATAAAACAATGTGGGAAGCGTTTCAGGCTAATCTTTCATGACGAGATAGAACGCTCATTTCCTCTAAGCGCGCCACGATTATTCTCAACATTTCGGAGCTGTGCTTGACGAGTGAGATTAAAGTATAGAAATACGAGAAATTATTGATGGAAATGCGATAAAAAGAAAGATGGAGGCGTTGCATAGGCTACAGAAAGAATTAATTCTCTCCGAGGGACAGGGAGCAGGTTCAGGGCCGCGCTGGTCCACGCGTTTCTGTCCGACCGGTAATTTTCACCCATATAGAGGGCCTAAAGTAGGGGGTTCGAGACTCGCAACTGGGCTTAACGATTCTGGTAAAAATCGGCCAGTTCACCGCGTGGATAAGAACCAGCTTCAGGCTAACATTGTATAGTCAAATCTAAATTATAATATGTTATGCTGAACAATAAAACCATTGCTTTTTACTTTGCTCGTATACTTTGATTAAGTTTTTCCAAAAAAACTCGTCGTTACAAATTCAGGACATTTTTTCTATGCGCTATCTAATAACATCGTGTAGCTTTATTCGTTCTTACCCATCGTAAGATTACGTACCTCGTATACACTTAACCAGTGACTGAACTCCTGCTGAACTTTAATAACATAGCAGTAGCTTTTACTGCCATTCACTTGAAGCAGGCTCGTATTTTTTAGGTGACCATTTCGACCTGATGTCGAAAATTGCTGTGGGCCAACCGCTGAACCTCGTATGTGGGTTGTTGCCCGAATTAATTCGCTAGTAAACTCATGTAAATTTAGGTATGATGTGAGAACTGTTGCCATATACGCTTAAAATTGTCTAGCGCGATTTATTCATACATACAAAATGTTGCCATTTTTATTGGTCGACATTTCAAATTTTCTTACCGATATTTAATACAGAAATGAAGCGGCGCCAAGTATGCGTGCAAAATCTATGCGATTCTTCTACCGATATTTAATCACTGATAGGGCGGCGTAGCCATATCCACCGATCGAACCGGTAGAATTTGTCTATGGAGACACAAAGAATTTAGAATTTATTTATGAGATTCCCAGATATAGAGTGTTGCCATAACTATCGGCGACCAAATCTGATGAAGTTTCTGTTGCGAGCGTTAGCGATACTGTCGAATTCCGACAGGGGCGAGGCGAGATCGCCTCCGATGCCAAATTCTTCGTCGCTGCCGTCGCCGCGCTTCCCAAATCGAATAAAGTTCCAGTCGCTGGGTTCACGTCCATACCGCACGAAGTTCAGGGGAAACTGACGCTTCTGGATCTCCTGCAGCGCCATGAGGTCATCCTCGTCGTGGTCCTCCTCAAACTCTGAGGAGTCGTCGTAGCGGAAGCCCTGAGGGGGAGAGCAAGGGTGGAATAACTCGACAAGTTTCAGATGTTTCCTGATCCACAATGTAAAGAATAGAATAGAAGTGTCGGCACAGAAGAAATAGGCCCATGGCCTGTTGCCGATTCTTCTACTTTTTGTGACTTGATTCACTAGGGATCCGGCCTTTGCAACCCGAATTCTTTCCATTCCATAAAAGATTGTTTTCGCACAAGCCAGGTTTTTTAATTGCTTAAAACATTATAATCATCTGTAAAATAAAGATTCCTTTGGAATAGTTTGTAATGTATAGCATAATCCTACGAAATATCTAAAACATACTACTTGTGTGGAAATTTTCATTTGGTTTTCAACAAGCCCTCGTAATTATTGGTGAGGCGTTGTGTGGTAACCGCAGCAACTCTGATTGACTAACTCACCGCCATGTCATCAGTGTCGGGCAGCCAGTTGAGGGGCGCCGAGATGTCGTGGTTGTTCACTAGGGCCATGAGGTTGGGGAGGGCACGTTTTCCCCTCTCCCCGAGGTGTTCCCTTTCCTCGTGAGTCGAGAGGTTACCCCCTTCCCCCAGGGACCGTTTAGACCTGCTCTGTGGTTTGCCCTCGCCTTCAGAGTGGGGGAACTCGTCATGGTGTTGGGTGACGACATGGGCTGCGTGGGGGTTAGGCAGGTGGGAAGACGGGTGAACTGAACCTCCACGACCAAACCTGAGCATTGCGGTGTAATCATACATTCATTAGTTTCCTGAGCATACATCTCCTGATGGGTCAGGAGAACCCACTTGCGCGAGCAGCACTTATTCCAAAAATGAATGTATCTAAGTGACCCACTTAAACTCAGAATGATGTTTGCCATAAGATAACAACAATTTTTTATACTCCGGTAGGAATGTCATTCTATGGAACTAAACAATAATCCATCTGTAAGGGTTGAACTTGAGTACCTATCCATAAGTTAGGTCTTAAAAAATTGTATATTCCGGTCCTATCGTAAAATGATAACCAATTAAAATATTGGAAGTTACCTGATAAAGTTTCTGTTGCGCAGATCTCCGCGACCGTAGCGGATGAAGTTGCGGTCGGCATTATTGCGCTTGCTGCTCGGCAGCGGATGTAGTTCAAAGTGCGGCAGCGTCACCAAGTTGTCATACACGTCGTCCACAATCTGGTTACGACCGAACCTGAAACGTTTTTAAAACAAATATGAACTAAATGGATCTTTCAAAGAGTGAACTGAAACCCTATTCGAATACCAACCTTGAATTTTTTTCAATAGTCAAGAAGGAAATCGCTGCATCGATTCGATCGTAACCGTGTGACGGTCACTTGCAAAACCAGCTACTCATTTTATGGGTTGAAGTTATTTGGCTCTCTCAAATAAGTTGAAAATTGATATATTTTCCTCTCTAATTACTAAGCCATAGTTTTACCAGTCAATTTTGGAAGTTGCTTCTGTGTATTAATATACAAAATCTCTTCTCAAACGAACGATTGACTTTTTCTCAAATACTCGTACACCGACTGCCCTAGTTACTGTGCGGGAGTGCGAGTGAGGCAACCAATCAGGAGCAGTATAAGATCATAATAGTTACGAGTTGGCAAATCCGTCACTGACGGCTGCCGCGCTGAACCCACCAATCGCGTACGAGAAATAGGCCGCTACGTGTACTTAAGAGAGTTTTGACGGAGTTTATGAAGTTAATCAAACGATTTATCGTCTGCAATTGATGGGATTAGTTTGGAAAGCCGTCATCGATTGGCTGACGGAGTTACGGACTCGTAGCTATTTTAGATTGTACTTCTGCAGAGCATCAAAATCGACATGGCTCCCGGCAAGTCAGTGACTGAGGTCAAGGCAAGAGTTTGTCACAATTATTATTTTATTTCGCCCTAAGCAACCAACGACGGAATATTGCTAGAATAAACTGACACATATGATATAAAATTGATTCTAGATTAAGAACAGACATCAGAGGATCAGCTGGTATCTCGACTGACAAGGTGATGAAGTTTTGTCATAGCCATAGGTTCTTATCGAATATTATTTGAAATGTCTACCATTTGGGGAAGAGGTAATTAGGTCAAACTATAGACAACACATCAAACTCCCCGATCAGCGCTTGTCCTGCCGATTTCTAGGCTTTATTGTTCTGTAAAAAGTTGGATAACTGAGCTCTGTCTGACCTGAGGAAATTCTTGTGGGTGCGTTTGGGCATGTCGGTCTCGGTGCTTCTGTAACACATTGATACAACAATCTTATAGTAGAATATAAACATGTTATTACACGCAGCAATCATCAATTTATGAAGCCTTAATGTCAAGTATTTGGATGGTCATGGATACGTGCATTTTTATGCAAATCGTCATTACTCAGTCAACTGTTACACACTTACAAGGAGAAGAGAGAAATAGTGATTATTTAGCTTTTGAAGTTTTGCCAAGTATCTATAATCACAAGATTACCCGAAGTCCGGCGAGGGGGCGGAGCTAGCAAGTGTTGCCATGACGACCAGAGCGAGGGTAGCCGCGCCCACCAACCATTGCAGTTGCCGTAAACTGCCAGTCATCGTCTGTGACAATTTGTATCCGATAATAATTTCATTATCTCCGAACATCCTACAATATTTTTCTAGCTATAGGGACAACTTTTAAATATTTGTTCTATTTTTAAGGACTTTTGGCATTTACTAGGGATTAGTTTAAAGCAAAATGCCCACGGTCACGTTGTAAGCGCAGCGAAATATCACAATGTTTCACAGCTTGCCGGGGCTCGAACCCACGACTCGCTGCTTTTGACCCTAGCGCTTGTCTATTCGATCTCCGTTGAAACTACGAGCACCTCAGCAGTGAGGATTTACATTTGAAATTATAATTTACTGATCTGAGATCAGAATCTAGTTAAACTCACGCCTGTGTGTGCCGGGGAGTCGACACACAGCATCCCTCATTAATTCCCCAGGTTGAAACTTGGTGAATGTTTGACGACCTATGTTTTCAGGTCCAACTTTGTGTTGAAAGTTGAACTCTGTGTTCAAGACACAACCTTGTATTGGGCCCAAATTTGTTATGGGACTCCAACGTTGTGTTGTGGCCCCAACTTTGTGTTGAAACTCAACTTTCTATTGGTACCCCAACATTGTTTTAGGCTCCAACCTGTAGTACGAACTCAAAACTTTGTGTTTAGAGCTCAAAGTTGTGTCGTGCTCCCATTTTTATTTGATTGTCCCAACCAAAATTTGATGTTTGGGATAAAGTCCGTCCCGTGTCGCCACAGGTCCCGGCCGGCGGGTTCACTCAAATATTTTAATCAGAATTTTAATACACAAGCGCGTGGCCTGGCGAGCCTAACGCGGTTACGGCGCGTAATTCCCTGACGCGAGCGACAACCTGCGGCCACTTCAGCTCCCCCCCCCTCTCCCTCCCACAGTTTAATATCCCTCCCCCTCACCCCCATACAGCTCCCCACCCCTCATCCCCCGCCGCGAGTGTCCGTAATATTGCTGGTCTTTGAGCCGCCGCGATTGCCCCTTCACTGATTGCTTCCCCCACTCCCCCCACACCAGCCAATCTTTCCCCACTCCCCCACACCTGCCAATCTTCCCCCACTCCCCCACACCAGCCAATCACGGTACTATCGTGCCAATCAGATATTGGCAATTTCGGTACTGACAATCACGGCATTGCGCCAATCGCTATTTTCACTAACAATCTTGCACACCCATCAGAAAACCGCAAATTGTTGCCAATCGCTGCTCTGCCAATCACTGTTCTGCCAATCACTGCTCTGCCAATCACTGGTCTGCCAACCGAACAACGCCGATTTTTATCCTCCGCCAATCACAACATGCCAATCATTGCAACTCGGCAATTACATCAATCCCCACCCCGCCAATCATTGCCTTGCCTCAATCTCTGCCTTACCAATCGCTTCACCGCCAATCTCTGTCCTGCCAATCACTTAACTGCCAATCCCAATCCCTGCATTGCGCGAATCTCTGTCCTGCCAATCTTTTCACTTACAATCACTGTCATGTGTCAATTCCTGCCTTGCCAATCACTTCCCCATCCCTGTTTATCACGGGCCAATCATGCGAGGGCAGTGAGGCGTGGGGCGCTCGAGGGCCAATTAGAGGCCCGGGCCCTCACGCCTCATTTATTGAGCCTCACTAGTGCCTCTCCCTNACGTGTGAGTGACGTGTGAGTGACGTGTGAGTGACGTGTGAGTGACGTGTGAGTGACGTGTGAGTGACGTGTGAGTGACGTGTGAGTGACGTGTGAGTGACGCATGTTCCCCACAAAGGCCCTGTCCCCACGGGTCCCCTAATCCCCCAGGGGCTTCAAAGTTCCTCTTAATCCCCAGCTAACCCCCCCATCCGAGGTCCCCTAACCCCCCTCCATCTCAATTCATTGTCCCTTTATCCCACACATTTTTCTCAATGTAACTTTTGTATTGATCTTTCATTCAGTATAATTCATATATACTTTACATTGTATAATATATAATTTCCGGTATACTTCGTTCTTTGTATGGTGTATATTATACAAGTTTGAGTTTATTGTTAAATTTCTTATTAGTTTCTTCAAAATATCGAACAAAATTTTTCGTTTGAGTTGTTAGATCGAAAATTATGTTATAGCGGAAGACATTTTTTGTATATTATAACATCATTCAGAATGTTGCAACATTCATTAAACAGAAAAAATCCATAAAATGAAAAAAATTTGTCATCCTATACCAATCTAAACATTATAAACATTATACCAGGTGTACGTTTACTGCGGTTACATTATTTTATTATAAATAAAACTCTAGAGCTAAAGTTATGTGCATTTAAGCAATTTTGAAGTTACCCTTCATAGTGGAAGCAAGGTTTGTATAGAAATCCTGTATTGAATTCGAAGAAATTCCCGAAATGTATAGCAAAATTAAATCAATTATGGTCATATTTAAATTGATTTTGTCTGTCTAGTAATACTTAATAACGATACTTAATCAGGATACTTAATAATGATAGTCAACCAGATAAAAAAATTGAAATTTAAAATTAAATTGGTATTTAAAAACAAAGTTAGAAAGGCGAAAAATAAAATTTTACGTATTTCAAAATGTGAGTCAATTTCGAGATGTAAGTTCCAAGCAGAATTTTTCTGTGATCTGGTTTTTCAAAATTAGAATTCATGAGCGGGATTGGCGGGATTCAGGATAACGGGATTCCGATAGAAGGGATTCAGGATAACGGGATTCTGATAGAAGGGATTCAGGATAACGGGATTCTGATAGAAGGGATTCGGGATAACGGGATTCTGATAGAAGGGATTCAGGATAACGGGATTCTGATAGAAGGGATTCAGGGTAACGGGATTCTGATAGAAGGGATTCAGGATAACGGGATTCTGATAGAAGGGATTCAGGATAACGGGATTCTGATAGAAGGGATTCAGGATAACGGGATTCTGATAGAAGGGATTCAGGGTAACGGGATTCTGATAGAAGGGGTTCAGGATAACGGGATTCTGATAGAATGGATTCAGGATAACGGGATTCTGATAGAAGGGATTCAGGATAAACGGACGGAATGTAGTACAATGAAATGTGCTCAATGTTAATTATATTTTGTAAAAAGTTGAAGTTTTTTTTTAATTTTTAAACAGGATAAGAATGAGAGTTCCATGATAAATAAGGCTTTGAACGGTACAGGGCAGGTACTTTCAAATATTGCCAAGTGGACGTAACTTCTTGAACTTAAGCTCAAGAAGATACGCCGAGCGTACGATCAGCGGATTTTGGCACCTTCAAAACTTCCGTACGACCGACTTAGCTAAAGGCGTACTTTCAAAACACTCC